TAGTTGTGTTCCATAAAAATAGGATCCATTATCTGATTTTTCTTTTAATTTTAATTTTTTAAAATATGAAAACGTGTGAATTTACCATATTATCCTCATTTAATTAATAATTTCAATTCTTAATGTTTGCATTAACCAAGGGCATTTTCTGGTATTTTGAATGTTTCACCATTCTCTGCCTTTTGCTTTATATATATAGATAAATTATATTTTTCTTTCTGGGTTACCTGGAACAAGGAATTAAAATTTCAGATCAGTGATAAAGAACACACAAAAATATTAAAATATTCAAATAATATGGCATTAATAATAGCATTCCGATATTTTAGCCACTAAACAATTAATGAATGAACTGAATAAACTAAAGAATAAGATCACGTGCTTGCTCTCCAGGAAATCAGAAGGCTCGGCACTTCCTGGAACTGGTCAACAACTTGTTCTTGTTCAAAACCCGACCTCGTTGCGGCTTTAGCTTTGGTGAAGGAATAGGCAAGTTCTTGATGTCGATAACTTGAATTTTCTTTCGCTTGTTTTGGAACTCTCGATAGCCTTGGTGAAGCTTTCGAACACTAGTCTCCAACTTCTCTTCATCATCCCAATCTTGCCGATGATGAAGATCATGATCAGTAGACTTTGTGGGCCCCTTAGGGTTTTGTTTGTAAGTTCTATATCGCACGTAATCTATAAGCACTAACCTTGAGAAGCCATTAGAGCAAGCACAGCAACAGCAGCAAAACCCACGAACTAGCCTTGGTCTTCCTCTCTCTATGCACTCTGATTCTCTCCTGTATGGGTAGGAATGTGAGTCTGTTTTTCAGTGCATGAGAGTGGGGACCGAAGCCTTAGTTTTATATGGTGAGTGCCTTGAGGTTCCTAGCCCATAAAGGATTCCTCAAGGCTTATCCTTATCACCTTAAGAGTCCATAGCCTAATATAATAGATATTCCACAAGTGAGATAGAGCTCCAACTCTATCAAACTTATCCGTGTATATCCAGCTTATCTCTCCCTTGTATCCCTGATCAAGTTGGATTCCTAAACGGATGTGAACTCAAATAGAGTTCTTACATGGAATGCTTGTAATGCGGCTTTGTTTGGTTCTCTTGTTTTGCCCCCTGAGCAAATTGTTTTTTGTGCCAAGAACTATGATGTTGAGTATCAGAAGATTTTATTACTTCATCATAGGCAGTCTTCTTTGCTAACTCCTGAGAAATAGTGGCAACGTCCTCCTCCTGGTTAATTCAAACTTAACGTTGATGGTGCGCTTAGTTTGACTTCTGGTTTACATGGGGTTGGCATCGTAGTGCAAGAATCCTATGGCCGCCTTTGTGGCGTGGTGGCGATGTGCGCTCCTTTTATTGTCGGTTCTGGCCACTGAGTTGTTTGCCATAAAGATTGGTATCTCCTTTGCAGTGGATGCATCCTTTTCACCTTTAATGCTATATTCATCTGCTTCTCACGGAGGAAACCTATTATGAAGCAAAATGGGTACTGGTTGAGGAAATTAGATGACTTCTTGATTCACTACCTTCCTACTCCACCTATTTTGTCCCTTGTACTGCTAATGGGGTTGCGGATCTTCTTGCACGCTTGAGTCTTGGTTAGGAGGATTTGTCCTTTTGGTTTGCTGACCCACCTCTTTGGCTGCGCTGTTGTTTGCTTGAGGACTCTTTTGATAGTATTTGATGTTTGACTCTCTCATAGTCACAGGTATGTGTGGTACTCTTTTGATAGTATTTGATGTTTGACTCTCTCATAGTGGAGAAATTATAGAATAGTACCGTACCACCACGTCAGCTGGTGATACTCCCATTCAAAATTTGACATGTGTATAACTTTTTGACAACTAGAGTATTCATTTTACCCTTTTAAAAAAAAATAAAAGAATTTTAAACACTTACAAATAAAAAGAAAGAAAAATAAAAACCCAAAAATCATTTGCCTCATCGACGGCGACGAAGCCCCCTGTCATGACTATCTGTCTCTCTATCTGTGAATATGATGACAGCCCATGGCAAATGAGTTTGCTCTTGATATATGTTGAAAGCTTGGATTCCTCAAAGACCATAAACTCACCCCCAAGAAAGTTTCAATCTAAATTCCTTGAACCCTACCCGTAATAGAGAGGAGGGAGGAAGAGGGAGGAAGAGGGAGGGGGAGAGAGAAAAACACAAAGACATGAAAAAAGAAAGACCAGCGGCAGCCATGGCAGAAAGGTGGGGGTGGGGTGGGGGCTTTGTCGCAAGTTGAAAGAAGGGGTTGATGTTGCTGAGGAATTTATTTATTTATTATTATTTTAGATATTTCCATTTTTGTTAAATTAAATTTAAATTGAAAAAAGGATTTTAAATCTAGCTGTTTAAATTTTAAATTTTTCTTTAAAAAGTTGTACACATGTTAAATTTTGAGTAGGAGTATCACGAGCTGACGTGGTAGTACGATATCATTCTATAATTTCTCCTCATAGTCACAGGTATGTGTGGTACTCTTTCCTCCTTGGGGTTTTATTCCATTGGGTTTTCCTCAGAGAGGTTTTAACAAGGCCACATTATATATGTTTCTCATCTTGTAATGTTTTGATTATCTAATGCTACGTAATTTTCTCTCTAAAAAAAAAAATCTTAATATTCTTGATTTTTAACAATAAATCGATTGCATTTAGAATTGAATTTTCACTAAACTCTCCTCCTCTTTGTAAGACTATCAATTTAAAAAAAAAAAAAAAAAAAAAAAAAAAAAAACCAAGCGAAATTCAGAAATTAAATCCATTAATCAACCGAACTCCAATTATAATTTCATTAATCCATTAATCCTTTAATCACGCACCCCTATATTCAAGCAATGTAAATATAGGGGACCCAAAACCTTACACACGCAATCTTAATATTCCCAAATTTTAACAACTGATTGCAATATTGAGAATTGAATTTTCACTAGGCTTCCATCCTTTGTGTAATTTAGGCCCAGTTTGGGATTGCTGTCACTTTTAAAAAAAGTTGCTTCTGCTGTGCTTTGAAAATAATTAGCTGTAAAGTAAAGCAGCTCCATATTTGGTAAACAATATTTTTAAAGTGCTGTTAGTACAAAAAGCAGTGTAAAAAACGTTTGGTAAATTTTAATATAAAATTGTTATAATTGTGAATAATGACTAAAATAGACATGATGTTAAAAGTGTTATGTACTAATCATGTGGTGGTAGTTGTAGTGATGGAGTGGAGGTGGTGGTGGTGATGAAGGTGGAGTTAGTGGTGGTGGGGATGGCGGTTGTGGAGGTGGTGGTGGATTTGGAAGTTTTGGAGGAGGTGGTGGTGGTGGTGGTGGTGGTGGAGGAGGTGGTGGTGGAGGTGGTGGAGGTGGTGGATGAGGTGGTGGTGGCGGAGGATGAGGAGGATGAGATGGTGGTGGTGGTGGCGGTGGTTGTGGAGGTAGTGAATGTGGTGGTGCAAGTGGTGGAGTTGGATGTGGAAGTGGAGATGGTGTCATTTTTTAAAATGAATGATGGTATTTTGGGAATGAAAAAAATTCATTAAATGTTCATGTCTGCTTCTTTTGAAAGCAGCTTTGAAAAGCAACCCAGAGCCTGCTTTTAAAAGGTCATTGCTTTTAAAATAATTGGGATATTTTCTTTTTACCAAACACTTTAAACTGCTTAACTTTAAAGTGAAGCAGGTTTTTAGCAAAAAAAGCAATCCCAAACGGGGCCTTAAAGGGTTAAATACTTTTTTTGTCACTGGGTTTTACATGGAAATTCAATTTGGTCACTGAGAATAAAATTCAGCCAAAATTGGTTACTGTGTTTTCCAAAGTTAACAATTTATAGACATTCCGTTATCTTCCGTTAAGTGCATTTTATTTTTATTTTTTTAAGAAGCACCTTCAATCTTCTTCCTCTAACTCAACGAGAGTTAGGGTATATTGTGCTATTATGGTTTAACAATTTAGAGAAATATTGGGTTGAAATTGAATTGTGAGGTATAAAAAATAAAAAAGGCAAACCAAATTAAAATGAAATCAACAATTCCAATATATTTTGGTGCTCTATCACCTTGAATTGATTATGTCTCCTTGCCATCCGAAGTCACAAATATGGTTGTCACTTAATCGATTCAAGCTTCAATATAGCATCCAATTTGTGACCTTATACCTCACAACCAATTTCAACTCAAAATTTCGCCCAATTTGTTAAAAGCTAATATATAGCACAATATCCCCTAACTTATTAAAAAAAACTGCAATAAAAGGAAGTTAATGGAAGATAATAAAATGTCTATAAAATATTGTAAACTTTGGGAAACATAGTGACCAATTTGGCTTAATTGTTTTCTTAGTTTCCAAATTGAATTTTTGTGTAAAACCCAGTGACCAAAAAGGTATTTAACCTTAGTTTAAACTATTGATTGTATTAATTCCAAAAAAAATAAACCAAGCGAAATTCAGAAATTAAATCCATTAATCAACCGAACTCTCCAATTATAAATCCATTAATCCTATAACCACGCACCTCTATATTCAAGCAATGTAAATCCAATATATATATGGAATAATTATGCACCTTAAGGTAACAAATTTATGTTATACCACTATTGAGTAACTTCCATGTGACTCTGTTGTTTTGGTTGTGACACTCTGTACTAACAAAACCTTTTTGTTTAGTCGGGGGAAGTCTAGGGGCCGAGGACAGTCAAGAATACCAAAATTAGCTAGAAAGAAACTTGGATGGTAAATATGGTCTATTTTTGGGATATTTAGTTTCATTGATTCCTATCATTGATTAGTGGTTATTGAAAAATCCGTTCCGCAAAATACAAAAAGAACGACATTCCAAACTCATATTAGCCTTGATCATTATCCAAATTTCCAGTTAGATCTTTCTCGCTGGCTAACCAAGTAACAAGAATGAACACCAACCATATCTTGTCATGCGGGAATATCTTGTCCATGTCGTTTGCTCTCTATATAAAGCTCCTCTAATACTAATAATGCACACTTCAATCAGCAGTCTCTTCTTCATTGCCTTCCCGTTAGACTTCCTTTTACCTAAGTTTGAGTGAGGGGCAGAAATCATGGCCGGGGGCTTTGGGGCGCCGACATCTGGCGGAGGAGACTTTGAGGCAAAGATCACGACTGTTGTGATCATTTCTTGCATATTGGCCGCCAGCGGAGGCCTCATGTTTGGTTATGATATTGGTATCTCAGGTACTTTCTATGTTAAGCAAGCATATAGGTTAAAATGATCTGATTGGTTGCAAGGAATTTGTATTTGATTCTTTCACTTGTATAAGAAAATGATCGGATTAGTGACTCACTTTCCTAAACTCCTTCAATCATGAAGATTGAGTACTCTCTAACATTAGTTTTCTCATAATAATATGTGCGAAAAGTGGTGTATACAACTATTGCATCTATAAGTTTTTCTTTTTTTCATTGAAGATATCCCACAACCTAGTATACCATCTGAACCCCAGAGTTTTTGCATCTCAAATTTTAGTAGATTTACGATTTTTTATGGATGTGAAAATACCACAAGATCAAATGCTAGTTGGTTATAATTTAGTGCAAATTAGTTTCATGGTCACATTAAGTTATTTTATTGTATAAAATATCATGTTCCTTCCTTAGATTTACTTATACACATGACTTTATTAGAAGAAAAAAAATGTAAGCATTAGTTTCGAAAAATGAGTCCAAACAGGAAACATTTTATTTAAAAAATAACCAAATTTAGAAAACAAGTTATAATATTGTTAATTTGGTGCAGGGGGTGTTACATCCATGCCCGAGTTCCTGAAGGAATTCTTCCCAGTTGTCTATCAGAAAACTCAACAGCCAGGGCTTGACAGCAATTACTGCAAATACAATAACCAAGGCCTGCAATTGTTCACATCTTCTCTCTACCTCGCTGCTTTAACCTCAACCTTCGCTGCTTCTTACACAACCAGAACGCTAGGCCGAAAGCTAACCATGTTCATTGCTGGGATTTTCTTTATAATCGGAACGGTTTTCAATGCTGCAGCTCAGAACCTTCTCATGCTTATTATTGGCAGGATCTTGCTGGGTTGTGGAGTTGGTTTTGCCAACCAGGTATAATTTGTTAATCTTTATCTTAAACTTCCACTATTGCTTACTTTTCGTTTTAACTTGAGAGCCGGTTTGGGACTACTGTTTCTGTAGCAAGTACTTCTTCTGCTCATAACCGCTTTTTTTGGAAGCGCTTTTATTAGAAGTAGATCAAAAAATTTATTAAAATCATGAAGATACACTAAAATTTACTTTTACAACCTACAAACACTAATTTTTTTTTTCCTGACAAATTATCTGATATGCCATTTATGTGTATTATAAACAATTAATAGTTATTCTTATAAATTTGTTCATGTTGCATTTTCTAATGTATATATCAGGCTGTGCCACTGTTCCTTTCGGAGATTGCACCAACAAGAATCCGTGGGGCACTTAACATTCTCTTCCAGCTCAATGTCACCATTGGCATTCTTTTTGCAAACCTTATCAATTATGGCACTTCCAAGTAAGTTATTTACATAATGAGTACGCATATTAATATATATAGCTAATTTATAATGCTTGGTTTTATTTTCGACCGTTCTTATTACTAATGTTTTGTGCACCACAGAATTGCAGGGGGATGGGGATGGAGGCTATCATTGGGTTTGGCTGGCGTTCCTGCAGCTATGCTAACCTTGGGGTCTCTGGTTGTGGTAGACACTCCTAATAGTTTGATTTCTCGTGGTAAGCTGGAAGAAGGCAAAGCTGCCCTTAAAAAGATTAGGGGAGTTGACAATGTTGAACCAGAATTCTTAGAGATTGTTGATGCAAGTCGTGTGGCTAAAGAAGTAAAGCATCCCTTCAGAAATCTCCTTCAGAGGAGGAACAGGCCTCAATTGGTCATTGCCATTTGGATGCAGGTCATTAATCAATTAATTATTTCATTGATATATACCTTGCTTAATTGATTCCGATATTAATTTAGTGGTATTTCTCATTCCAATATTGAAAGCAGCCCATTGATAATATTAGTGTTGTACGTATATTTGGTACAGGTGTTCCAGCAATTTACTGGCATTAACGCAATCATGTTCTACGCTCCGGTTTTGTTCCAAACCTTGGGATTTAAGAGTGATGCTTCCTTGTACTCAGCTGTTATAACAGGAGCTGTCAATGTCCTCTCCACTCTTGTCTCAATTTACTTTGTCGACAGAGCTGGTCGCCGTGCACTCTTGTTAGAAGCCGGAGTCCAAATGTTCTTGTCTCAATTGGTGGTTGCAATAGTGATGGGACTCAAAGTTAAGGATAATTCTAACAACCTTAACCAGGGGTTGGCGGTTCTTGTAGTAGTCATGGTTTGCAGTTTTGTTTCATCCTTTGCATGGTCTTGGGGACCTCTTGGGTGGTTGATCCCTAGCGAAACATTCCCACTAGAGGCTCGCTCAGCTGGCCAGAGTGTGGCTGTTTGTGTCAACATGCTCTTCACCTTTGTTATAGCACAGGCCTTCCTCTCAATGCTTTGCCACATGAAGTTTGGTATTTTCTTGTTCTTCACATCTTGGGTCTTCGTCATGACACTCTTTGTACTTTTCTTAATTCCCGAGACCAAGGGCATCCCTATTGAAGAGATGACAGAAAGAGTTTGGAAGCAACATTGGTTCTGGAAAAGGTTCATGGATGACGGTGAAGATAAATCCAAGGGGCATGCTTGAAGTATTTTTCCTTTGTGAGAAATTATTGTATGATACTAGGACAACCAAAGCTGAAGCAATATATATATGTTAGTTTCCTCTGTTGTACTATATTCAAACTAGTTCAAGATGATGACGATAATGGAAAGGTGATAAGGGAACCTTCTTAGAACAATGGAGTCAAAGTTTCATATATACAAACATCCGATCATCTTTCATTTAACATTGCAAGAGCAATATTGACGAATTTTTATGTGATTGTTATCTTTGAGTCCTTTTGATCAGCACTATGTTAATTGTTGAGTTGCATTATACAGTCAACATCGGATTAGCATAATCCAAAAGCAAACAAAACACCTTTTCAAGTCAATAATTTTCAATACAAACCTAATTCTCGATGAAAATGTTGGGTATAACCCATGTATTTGAATTGATGAATCGCGGCCCGATTTGCATTATTACTTATTTTTCGTGACTATTTTGCCCTTAAAGATAAATAATGGAATCAAATTAAAAGTCTATGATTTAAAGCATTATCAGTTTTAAATTTTAAACATTTATGGCTAAAAAAATCATATCTCATATAGACCAAATCAAAAAAATTGGTATTATAAGTATAATGCACATAATTAAGATACATTAATCTACCTTACTAAAAGGTCAAAATGAAGAACATGTGTTTACATGACGAAAACAAGCATGAGAATAAATATAAAATTGTGTTACCTTATTTATAGGAAAGCAAAAATTATATAATATACAGAAAACTCACAAATCGTATCCTTTTTTGTTAGGTAGACTACCTCGACACTCAAACCTATTTGGTAGCTAGTTAACATAAACCTTTTTAACCTATGTACACAATAGGAAAAAAGAGAAGAAACATAAACTACTCCTACATACAAGGTAAACAATATAAAAGGAATTTTTTAATAAAAAATTTATTAAAAAAAAGAAAAGAAGAAAGAGAATCACCATTGTTGAGGTCTAGTGTTGCAGGAGAAGAAGATTTGGATTTGAATAAGGGAGAGTTTGTGCGGTGGAAGTTTGTGAGAGAGTTTAGGGAGAGAAATATATGGTGTATGTGTGTGTTATAATTTATAAATGGTTATTATGTCATTAATTTCAAAGCAAATAAAGAAAGTTTTATTTTGGTAAATAATAAATAAAAATGGATATTATTAGGGGTAATACGGACATTGAGAAAATTCAAACTATGATCATTAATGAAAATTTTCATAAAAACCCAAACATAGGCCTACATTGATTCTTAAAAACACCCATGGGTTTTTCCCTATGTATGCTTGTATTTTTGGGTTAATATCTAATTTTCTATTTATAATAAGAGTTCAACTGCGCACAGTTCTTTCTTGTACTTTTAATCGATGAGTTCATGATTTAACCAGTTCCTCGAGCTCCCAAAGGAGAAGTTATAGCTTTCAACACAAAAATATCAGAGGTCAATTAGGTGTACATTTAAAGTGGAGATCATGATGCACTTGGGTTAAGACGATGAGCAAAAATGTTCCTTTAAGTAATATCGTTAAAACATAACAAATTCGGCTTATAAATAGAAGTCTCAAAATATACATATGATTTACTATGCGGATCAGATAATTTCAATGACTCGATATGACAATTTTAACTGGATAATTTGGGGTTGTCTAAATATATCTTGGACATGACTAAGACTAAGCGCAGCAACAAGAATGAAGAGTATAGAGCAACAGTTGACCATGCCATGTGGAAAGGTCCTGTCCATGGAACTTACTAAGTCACGACAGTCATTCATTTTCTACGTGGTTCACTCTCTGTCGCCTTCAGGTCTTCAGATCGTCTGGTATATAAGCCCCTGAAGAACACACCTCATTTCACCGAGCAAAGTCTCTTCTTCTTCCTTTTCTTCTTCAGTTTGATAGAGGTCATCTAGTAGATATATATATATATATATATAAATAAATGCAAAATACTTGTGTAATTAGATACTAAGAATTAAAGTGTAGCGAAGTAAGTTCGAGTTCTAAATTGATTAAGAAGCAGAAACCATGGCCGGTGGTGGATTTGGGACCGGGACGGGAGGAGGAGACTTTGAGGCAAAGATCACGCCTCTTGTGATCATTTCTTGCATATTGGCCTCCAGCGGAGGCCTCATGTTTGGTTATGACGTTGGTATTTCCGGTACGTACGTATGTAGCTAAGGGCTAGCTAGCTATGTTCTCATGCATGCATGCAAATGGTTATATTGGTCTTACTTAAAACACAATTAATTAAAAATTATTTCATACTGTAGTCTAATGATGAAATTATAATTGATCATGCAGGGGGTGTTACATCCATGCCGGAGTTCCTGAGGGAATTCTTCCCAACAGTGTATAAGAAGAACAGCCAGCCTGGACTTGAAAGCAATTACTGTAAATACGATAATCAGGGCTTGCAGCTGTTCACGTCTTCATTGTACCTCGCTGCTTTGGTAGCTACCTTCGTTGCATCGTACACAACCAAATTGCTAGGCCGAAAGCTAACCATGTTGATGGCTGGGATTTTCTTCCTGGTCGGAACAGCTTTCAATGCTGCAGCTGTTAACCTTGCCATGCTTATCATTGGGAGGATCTTACTTGGTTGTGGAGTTGGTTTTGCTAACCAGGTTCAATTAACTCTTAATCTTATCTTAATTTCCATTATAAGGATTTGTAGTTTGAACACATTGATATATTAATTTGCTATATAAATAATGGATATCTATATGATTGATTACAGGCGGTGCCACTTTTCCTTTCGGAGGTTGCACCCACAAGAATTCGTGGCTCACTAAATATACTCTTCCAACTGATGTGCACCATTGGCATTCTTGTAGCAAACATGATCAACTATGGAACTTCCAAGTAATTAAGCCAATATAATTAATTATTAGCTAGTTATAAATATGAATCACGTATAAGGTGTAATGAAGTTGTGCTATGTGCATGCAGAATGTCAGGGGCAAATGGATGGAGGATATCACTGGGTTTAGCTGTCATTCCAGCACTCTTGTTAACCGTGGGGTCTCTCATTGTAACAGACACTCCTAACAGTTTGATTGCTCGCGGTAAGATGGAGGAAGGGAAAGCCATTCTTAAAAAGATTCGTGGTGTTGACAACGTCGAACCAGAGTTCTTAGAAATTGTTGAGGCCAGTCGTGCGGCTAAAGAAGTGAAGCATCCCTTCAGAAATCTCCTTAAGCGCAGAAACAGGCCTCAACTGGTCATTGCAATTTGCATGCAGGTGCTGCGACTATAGCCTATTGCTGTGTTAACTAGTTTTCACAATCACATATTAGATAGTCTGACATGTTATATTTGTACGTGCATACAGATTTTCCAGCAATTGACTGGCATTAACGCAATTATGTTCTACGCTCCCGTTTTGTTCAAGACCTTGGGATTTAAGAGTGACGCTTCCCTTTACTCATCCGCCATAACAGGAGCTGTCAATGTCCTCTCAACTGTTGTATCAATCTACTTTGTGGACAGAGCTGGTCGCCGCGTGCTGCTGCTAGAAGCGGGTGTTCAAATGTTCCTTTCTCAAATTGTGATTACAGTAGTGCTTGGAATCAAACTTAAGGACGACGTGAACAACCTCGGCCATGGCTTGGGAATTCTTGTGCTGGTTTTCGTGTGCAGTTTCGTTGCCTCCTTTGCATGGTCTTGGGGACCTCTTGGGTGGTTGATTCCTAGTGAGATTTTCGCACTAGATGCTCGCTCAGCGGGCCAAAGTGTGGCTGTCTTTTTCAACATGCTCTTCACCTTTATTATAGCCCAGGCCTTCCTCTCAATGCTTTGCCACATGCAGTTTGCCATTTTCTTGTTTTTCGCAATTTGGGTCTTCGCCATGACTCTCTTCACTCTCTTCTTAATTCCTGAGACGAAAGGCATCCCTATCGAAGAGATGACTGAGAGAGTATGGAAGAAGCACTGGTTCTGGAAGCGATATATGGATGAAGTTGAAGATAATCCCAAGGCCCAGGCAAATGCTTAAACCACTTATCCTTGCCTGCAGGGTTCTTAGATTTTACAATTTCCACGAATTTAAGTTTTAGGAGTTCTTGTTTAGTTCTAGTAGACCTTCATCTCGCACGCCTCCATGCCATTTGATTTGTTTTTCTTCCTTTGAACGTAGCTTCAATTTCATTCCAAGCAAAGTACTTGTCAGCAGCGTATATAGACTACACTCTGCATGTAAATTGCTTCAATAATTGTTATTTTCACCGATTAATGTAAGGTTTATCTTTTATTGTTATGTCACTCATGATCTGGTTAACAATGCGTCTTAAATATTTTATTCAAAACAAATTAAAAATATTTTATTCAAAACACCTTGTGGCATGCCAACATCCATTTTAAGACATATGCAAGATGTACTAGTTGACGAATTAACTACCACATGACGAATTAACTTATTTAAGGAAACGTGGTCCTTCTTGTTTTCCTCTAGACAGACTCGATCAACTTTACTTCAACGAATTTCTCGTTAATGCCTGACCAAGCAATCAAGAAAGAAAACCAACCATAGATCATGCCATGGGGAAGGATCCTGACCGTGGCACAGTAAATTAAAAATAGGTACACAATAATTTATAGAAAATATAGGTACATTATTTATCCATACGTAAATTATTTTACAATATACCTATAAATTTGTATAGGTACATTATTTGGAGAGGAAAAATAGGTTCATTTAAAAAAATAGGCACATTGTTTTACCAGGTACATTATTAGAGAAAAAAATAGGTAGATTATTTAGAGGAAAAATAGGTTCATTTAAAAAAAAATGTTTTTCATAAAACAAACAATAAATAGATTATCAAAATATTTTTCAACATAATTAGAATGTACACTATTATTCATAACACTATAATAAAATGGAAAATAGATTATTAGTAATATAATTCATAAAAGGAAAACAACATAATTAACCAATATGTTAATCACATGTAGATTACATGTCATTAGTAACACCCCCACATAACACGTTACCTTGTAAATAGGGGTAGTTTTGGAATCCGAAAAATAGAATAAATCAGATTTTAAGCTAGATAAGGTAACTTGCTTACTTGGATCCTCGTCATCGGGTTTTATTTGAAAAAAATGGGTATTTTAAATAGAAAAAATAAAGGAAAGGGTTGTAGGTGATTAAAAATGAATTTTATGGGTCTAAGCTCAATTTACTATGGTTTATTATGTCTTTAGAAATTTTCTTTCAATTTTGTTCATTACAATTGTACATTTTCATATTTCCATAATATTAAAGATTCTAGCGATGCATTTTTGAGCTCTCCTCTCTCTTATGCTTTCATTTTCTTGAGAGACAATATGTCTGTCCCATATTATTGTCAAATTTTCCAGGTTAACGGGCCGAGGGCCCACTCCAACAACACCGATACTGTCCCCACTTTACCACCTGCACAATCCTCAGGTGTGGGGTTTTATCACAAAAGGCCTCGGTATTAGTTGGAGTGGGGTAATTCTATTTAAAGTACTCTCTCTCCTTCCCTCTCTCCGATGTGGGACACAATTGGTTTCAACACTCCCCCGCACGTGAGACCCCATTTTGTGGGTCACACGTGGAGATCCACACATCGGCAACCACGTGGAGCCATGTAGGGACTCACCCATCGCACGGGGCCAAACGGGGACCCACCCATCACGTGGCACCTTTGGCCTACGTGGAGCCAAATGGGGACTCACCTATCGCGCGGGGCCAAACGGGGACCCACCCATCACGTGGCAAGTACGGGCCCGCAACCTGGCTCTGATACCATGTCAAATTTTCCAGGTTAACGGGCCAAGGGCCCACTCCAACAACACCGATACTGTCCCCACTTTACCACCTGCACAATCCTCAGGTGTGGGGTTTTATCACAAAAGGCCTCGGTATTAGTTGGAGTGGGGTAATTCTATTTAAAGTACTCTCTCTCCTTCCCTCTCTCCGATGTGGGACACAATTGGTTTCAACAATTATTGCCCATCACCAACATCTCTCTTGGGATAAACATTCTTTCATTTTTGACAAGTTTGTTTTAAGAAAAACACAATTCATCAAAATCCATTAATGTTGTCTACAACACAGATAGATAGAGGGCAGTTCCGACAATTGAATTGATAAACGAAATCAAAAGAATGAATGTAATCCAAGAGGGCCTGCAGGAATACATTTTGTTCAAATAGTGCCTCTCAGAAAATAAATTAGCAGATTATTTGGCAAGCAGAGAGGGCGTGTTGTGAGGCTACTAGAACCAAAGAAGAATTCTTAAGCCTCAAATTAAGGGAACTTATAAAATCTAATAAACCACCAAGCAGATAATAAACTATCTGAATTCAGATAGTTCAAGCATGCAACTTGCCCTTAGGATCATCCTCAAAGTCATCCATGAATCGCTTCCAGAACCAGTGTTGCTTCCAAACTCTTTCTGTCATCTCTTCAATAGGGACACCCTTTGTCTCAGGAATTAAGACCACAACGAAAATTGTCATGACAAATACCCAAAATGTGAAGAAGAGGAAAATGGCAAACTTCATGTTGCAAAGCATTGAGAGGAAGGCCTGTGCTATGATAAAGGTGAAGAGCATGTTGGTACAGACAGCCACACTCTGGCCTGCTGAGCGGGCCTCTAATGGGAACGTTTCGCTAGGTATCAACCACCCGAGAGGTCCCCAAGACCACGCGAAGGATGAAACAAAACTGCAAACCATAACCACCACAATAATTGCCAAGCCATGGCCAAGGTTGTTAGAGTGATCCTTCACTTTGAGTCCCATTATTATTGCAACCACCATTTGAGAAAGGAACATTTGGACACCGGCTTCTAACAATAGCACGCGCCGACCAGCTCTGTCGACAAAGTATATTGATACAACGGTTGAGAGGACATTGACAGCTCCTGTGATAACAGCTGAGTAGAGGGAAGCATCACTCTTAAATCCCAAGGTCTGGAACAAAACTGGAGCGTAGAACATGATTGCGTTAATGCCAGTGAATTGCTGGAAAATCTGTAGGCATGTAAAACATAACATGTGAGACTATCTGATACACGTTAAAACGTAACTAGGATTTTGAATTGCAAAGTACTAGTATAGTAGCGGCACCTGCATCCAAATTGCAATGACCAACTGAGGCCTGTTCCTACGCTTAAGGAGGTTTCTGAAAGGATGCTTCACTTCTTGTGCCACACGACTTGCCTCCACAATCTCTAAGAATTCTGGATCCACATTGTCAACACCCCTAATCCTTTTAAGAACTGCTTTTCCTTCCTCCAACTTACCTCGTTCGATCAAACTGTTAGGTGTGTCTACCACAATGAGAGACCCAACAGTCAGCAAACCTGCCGGAATGCCAGCCAAACCTAGTGACACTCTCCATCCATATCCCCCTTCAATTCTGTGCCAGAAAAAGTACATTAATTAATCACTCGTGTCTAATTATCGGTGATTAATGGAATATTAGGGAGGATGGTGGCTTACTTGGCAGTTCCATAATTGATAAGATTTGCGAAAAGAATGCCAATGGTGATATTTAGCTGGAAGAGTATGTTAAGTGCCCCGCGAATTCTTGTGGGTGCAATCTCCGAAAGAAAAAGCGGCACTGCCTGTAATTATATTCATTAATTAGTAAAACCTAGCATGTGATAGAAAAAGCAATTTTAGTAGATTAAGATCAGATTAGGAAATAATTATGTACCTGGTTAGCAAAACCAACTCCACAACCAAGCAAGATCCTCCCTATGATAAGCATGGCAAGGTTAACAGCTGCAGCATTAAAAACTGTTCCGACTACAAAGAAAACCCCAGCAATAAACATGGTTAGCTTTCGGCCCAGGACTCGGGTTGTGTACGACGCGAAGAAGGTGGCAATTAAAGCAGCGAGGTACAAGGAAGATGTGAACAACTGCAAGCCTTGATTATCGTATTTGCAGTAGTTGCTCTCAAGTCCAGTCTCTTGAGTCTTCTTATAAACAACCGGGAAGAATTGTTTCAGGAAAGGAGGCATGGATGTAACACCCCCTGCATCCATCACAATGATCACATGTATCAAATTATAATTAAATTAAGAAAGAATTCTAATTAACTTTTAACCAAAAAATTAGTTAATTAATTCTACGTGAATGATATGAAAAGCTCCACAATGCCTACCTGAAATACCAACATCATAACCGAACATGAGGCCTCCGCTAGCGGCCATTATGCAAGACATGATCACTAGAGGCGTGATCTTTGCTTCAAAGTCTCCGCCTCCCGATGAGGCCCCAAAGCCACCACCCGCCATGGTTTTCCTGCTTAACTGTACTTTAATTCTTAGTATCTAATTTGAGAATGTTGTAGTTGGTATATGGTCCACGACCTCAAGGCAACTGTTATTAAGAAAAGAGTAGCTCGGTGAAATGAAGTGTGTGCTTGAGGGATTTATATATACTAGATGACTTCATGGCAACAAGGAATGAATTACGTACGTAAAAAATGGATCATTTAGTTAGTGACACGGTCAGGATCTCTCCTCATGGCATTGATCTACGGTTGTTTTCTTTCTTGATGCTTGGTTAGGCATTAACGAGGAGTTAGTTGCACTAGAGTTGATCAAGTCTCTTACGAGTAATGTTAGAAGGACCACATTTCGTAACGATAACATGTGGTAGTTAATCCGTCATCTATTACATCATTCATGTGCCTGAAAGTGTATTTGTATCAAGGATTGGTCCGGCTTCTCTCCTAAACTTGCCTAAGTTTCTAAGCCTCACCGTTCGTGAAGATTCAACAAGTCACAAGTTAATGTGGAAATAATACACATTGACATTAAGATATTTCTGTTTACTTTTTGTGTGTGGTTTTCTTAATACATTGCTTTCTATATCCATGTGTGTGGAAAAAATCTTATACCAATTGATATTAAACACAAAAATCTAAATTGTCCACAAACTTCATCGAGTTTTTGAATGAGCCAAGTTTGAATGAACCACAGATTTTTTTTTTCTGGCGAGGAAGGGGAAAGAACCATATATAAATAGCCATTCTTTTGATTTTTCAAAATTTTCATCTCTGAAATTTTTTAGAAATGGTTTCGTCATGGGTGCTTTGGTTCCTTTTATAGCTTTAAGTTTTGGCTATTTACTGCTGAATTGTGGACCTTAGATTTTATATATATCAAGAACCCATAGCCATTCTTTTGATTTTTGGGTATAATTGCTACTGAACTTTTGAGCAGCCATGGATGAGTGGAGAGAGATAGGGGAGGCTTTGGGCACAAGCAGGCAAAGTGGCTGCCTAAGGCCCTCATATTTGGAGGGCCCCCAATTTGTATATACATACCTATGTTATTTTTTTATGAAAAAAATTGTATTATATAAATATTACTAGTAAATATTATGTTAGGCCCAAGTATTGTAAAAATAATAATAATAATTTGCTCAATTCAATTCAAAATTAAAAAGAGGAAATTTAATAAAGGCCCAATTATTTTATAATGAAATGATACAAACTCAAAGATTAGATCCCGTTTGAAAAAATAAAATGCATACAAAATACATGGATACCTGTCTCTATGGATTCCGAAACTCTACATTAAAAAGAATATAATTTTGTGCATTTTAAAAAATTTGGTATATTGAAGAATTCCCATGGTTTTGGATTTTACCACATCAGCAAGATAGGTTATTGTGTTTTTTAATAAATTGGTAACGTTGTTGTTACCCCTCTCTCCCTGCAAGCAACTCCTCCAATATAAATTAGTTAAACAATATAGGTAGAATATTTTCAGATATATTTCATTCTCCGAAAGGAGGTATTTATAATACAGGTTACAAACCCTAGTAGGGTTTAATTAGGAAATAAGTGGAATCCTAATTACATAATATCAATACAAAAGGATAAATAAATAAAACCCAAATAGAATAGGATATATTCTACTCGCCAACACTCCCCCTCAAGTTGGAGCAAAGACGTCACGCATGCCCAACTTGTTAAGCGAGTTGAGAAAGATACTTGTAGAAACATCTTTCGTAAGAACATCAGCTAACTGGTATTCTGAAGGGGAAGGACACAATCTCTGCATCCAACTTTTCCTTAATGAAATTTCGATCAACCTCCACATGCTTTGTACGGTCATGTTGTACAGGATTATGAGCAATTGCAATCGCAGCCGTATTGTCACAATATAACTCCATGGGTTTATTAGGCCCAAAACCAAGGTCTTTCAACAATCTTCTCAACCATAGTAACTCAGATACACCATGGGTCATTCCCCGATACTCGGCCTCAGCACTAGATCTAGACACCACCTTTTGTTTCTTGCTCCTCCACGTAACAAGATTGCCACCCACAAACATAAAATACCCAAATGTCGAACGCCTATCTGTGGCTAAACCTGCCCAATCAGCATCTGTATACCCTTCTACATTTGTATGGCCATACTTGGAGAAAATTAACCCCTTGCCAGGAGTTACTTTCAGATACCTTAAAATACGAGTCACAGCCCCCATATAATCTACACTAGGAGAGTGCATAAACTGAGTCACTATATTTACAGCATACGCAATATCTGGACGAGTATGAGCCAAATAAATCAACTTCCCCACAAGTCGTTGATAACGTTCTTTATCAGTTGGAACTTGATCGGGATATATCCCCAACTTATGATTCTGCTCACTAGGGGTATCAATCGGTTTACAATCCAACATTCCAGTTTCTACAAGTAAATCCAAAACATACTTTCTTTGGGATAGAAAAATACCATGTTTAGATCTGGCAACTTCAATCCCAAGAAAATACTTTAAATCACCCAATGATTTCATCTCGAACTCAGAAGCCAGATACTTCTGAAGACTCTGTATCTCTACATGATCATCTCCAGTCACAATCATATCATCAACATAAATAATTAAAGCTGTCAATTTACCTTTATGACGCTTCAGAAACAAAGTATGATCAGAGTTACTTTGCACATACCCAAACTTCTTCATAGATGCAGCAAATCTTCCAAACCACGCTCTCGGAACTCGAGACGAATTCTGTGGAAATTCCGACATCACACCGATGCCGGGCCCACTTACTAAAAATTTAGCCCATTTTCCAAATTAAGGGAAAAGAGCCCGAGACTTTCTGCCGAAATTTCGGCAGAATCTCCCCTGTAAATTGAACATTCCCCAAAAATTCCAACCTGCATAAAACACATTTTAAAACACCAACTGGCAGCATGCATAAGTTAACAACATGCAATCACAAAATAGGCCTCCGGCCTTCAGGTAATTCAAAACATAACCAACAATGTTCTTAGGTCAATTAATACATAAACCATGTAATTAATGACCCCAAACAACTTTGCAAATACCACAGAAATCATTAAGCCGAATTCAAATCCAACAATCACATCGAAAACCATAACAGAATCCAATCACATACACAGAATCGATCAAACCTGTTAAACACAATAATATTTCGCGGCTGCACCTGGTGAGACCGCAGGCTGCCTACGTACCCTTGGACAAGGGATCAAGCCACACGTAGTTCTCATCATCAAAGGTCACAACTCCGGTAATAAACCAATATTTACAACAGAACCAACTATACATTTCAGATCTATCACAATTCCAAATCCGACAAAAACACATTGAAACATTATCAATTTCTTCCCAAGGCATCGTATTAAGAAGACATCCGAAGGGCCTGGGCAAACTCCGACGGGCCTGGGCAAAATAAATAAATCTCCGAAGGGCCTGGGCAAACTCCGACGGGCCTGGGCAAAATAAATAAATCTCCGAGGGGCCTGGACAAACTCCGACGGGCCTGGGCAAAATAAATTCTCAAACATAAAATCCATAATCGGGGAGGTACCTAAGGTAGTACTAATAACATGCAAGTTAACATTCTAAGTACCCCATACAAAATCAACAAACATAGCACTTTCTCAATTATTATATATAAACTCAAGACACTCGAATATGTCAAACCCACATGTATCACAATTACTTTACAAAAATAAGGAATTCAACTATTAAATATATTAAGCATTTAACTAAACCATTAAATTCAAAAACATAAGATTCCCATCACAAAACTATACAAATAATCTCATAGACCTACATAATCAACATAAAGCAAATGACGGTCAAGACTCGTCCAAAAGAGTCGTTCTAGTACTCTTCGAAGAGTGGGACTACCTCGGAAGACTCACGGTCAATCGAGGGTCAAACTACCCAAACTTGGTCAACTGGGCCCGTAGGGCCCACGACCTCCATTTTACAATCCGAAAGTTCCTATGGGTTCCACAAGATCTAGGAAACATATCCTACGAGTTTAGTTCAGATCGGACAGTCGGATCGCTCACGATCGCACGATCGGACGGTTATCGTAAAACACAAACTTTAAGTTATTAAATCGGAACATCCGGGGCTCCGATTCATGATCCGTCGAATCCTACACGATCCTAGGAATACCTAGATCAACATATATTAATTTGGAAGTGATCCAACGGTTCTAACCTATCGAACCCGGAAATCACACAATATGTAAAATCAGTTCGGGGTTCAAACGTTATCCGAATTGAGATCCGTAAAATTCTACGCGCTCGTGACAACCAGGAGATCATTTCAGAATAAAATGTCTCCCTGCTACAGTGCCCACGTGCCGGCACACGCGCCGGCAGCGCGTGGGTGTCCAAAGCGATAACCACTCGCCGGAAAAACTTAACATCTTGACTCCAAACTCCTATCCTAGGTAATACACCTAATTTGGAGTCACTTTTGTTCTTGGACATACCCCAAAAAGTGGCCGGAAGTGGCCGGAATCGGAAGCCGAAACCGGCAGATTTTCTATC